GTGGGACTAGCCATGTATGGTTTTTGTCTAAGATAGCTATTGGCAATGTTGTGGCTTACTATTTCGCTTTTCAGTGCATGTCCTATTTACTAGCTATTACTTTTGCTTTGTATCTTTCTTCTAGATTTCATAGTGTTCCTATTTTTCTTATGATTGTTGTGGTGATACTAATATTTACTAATATTGTCTCCCTTTGCTTTGCATCTTTCTTCTGGATTTTATGGTGTTCCTATTTATCCTATGATTATTGTTGTGGTACTAATATTGTTTCCTTTTTGTCATTTTGTCATTTTGTCTTTTTATTTTTTTGAGCCGAGGGTCTTTCGGAAACAGCCTCTCTACTCCTTTGGGATAGGGGTAAGGTCTGCGTACACACTACCCTTCTCAGACCCCATTAGTAAAATTTTACTGGGTTGTTGTTGTTGTTATAATTCCATTGCTGTGATGTAGTGGCTTTTGTCATAGGATATTCCATATCATTGGCAGAGACGGAATTAACCGTCATTATTACCATGTTGGGAAAATTTCATATGTTTATATTCAATTTTCAGAAACCACTAAAAGATTATATTCCCAACACAAATCAATTCTTTCTCGTCGAAGGCAACGATTTAATTGATATCCCAACACAAGGAGAATTCTTATTTTTTATTCCATTTTCAATGATCAGAAATGATACGCTTCAAGACAGTTTCGGTTTTGTCAAAGGCCGCTTCTGGCTTGTGCTATTGTTGCGTCTGAAATTAAGTATTCAACACAAATCCAAGCAGTCCAAGTTGCACCTTTGGATTGACTTGCTTGTTACGCAGTAAATAAACTTGAATTGAATTGAGGCTTAGTCAAAATGACGCAACGTATATGTAACAGTCCACACAACACAACTGCATTGTTTCACCAAGAAAGCCATTGCCATATGAGCATATAACAACGGATATACGCAGACGAGGAAGAACAAGACTATAAAGTCAAATGGCCTGTTACTTCCTCGTTTCGTTTTCCTCAATCGCTACAATACCAGTAACGCCTTGAGGAATTTTAATCCGAGTGCTTGTGTGTCCTTAAGGAATTTAATTACTCATTGTTGCCCAAGGTTATGGATTACTTTCTACCATGATAGAAAGAAAAAATTATTCTGTAATACTGGCAATCGAAATTACAGAACTTTAGTGAACTCAACAAATGGAGCAAATCATACTTGACACTTAGTTTATGTGAAAAAATAATGCAACAATGTAGAAAAGATGAGAGAAGTTTTCAGATTTTTCATATATGAAAAATGAGGTAAAGCCTTTAAATTTATAGACAATGAAAGTGAGATGAAAAAGTATAATCCAAGAGATGCCTCTTCCATTTCCCATTCACGCTCTTTAGAAAAGCTCCAACAGAAACAAGTATTGTTGTTATTATGGCTCTTCTATCTTAACTAAGAAACAATGCCGGCTCACAGGTAAGGCATCCCAAGCAATTGCTTTAGGCCCCAAAGGTTTAGGGGGCCCATTTTTTACTAGCAGTACTTTTTAAGAAGTAACATTTTTTTTAAAAAAATTGAATATTTTGAAATAATTTTTTAATAGAAAAACAAACTTTGATTTGTTACTGATGTCGACCACAGAGATTTGAATAATCTGAAGCGTGAAAAGTATCTATAATTTTTATTTAGTGGAAAATTTTGAGATCACTAGAAAATCTGAGAAAAGTTGATGGATAGTTTAGACTTATTTTTCGAATTAAAAGCATTAAAGGAAATACTATATGTAGAAATAATACCCTAATCGATATACTCAATCTGATAACAAGACTTGAAAAGTTAAGATTTGATTCTTTTTCAAATTCCTATATTCCTTATGGAATAATGTTCCTGTAACAGTTACATTTTGGGGAAGAAGTTTATTAAATTTTAATATACATCTTACCTAGTATCAACAATGTCTCAAGAGACATTAAAATAGATTAGCTATATTATCAAGCGAAAAAGAATTATTAGAATAGCTCGATTATAAACAAAATATTAATAACTTTGCGTAAGGAAAATAGACTTAAATTAAAAATATATAAGAACTTTAAAAAAAAGAAAGAACGAAAAATAGGGCCCCTCATAAAGATTTAACTTTAGGCCACCAATAATGTTGAGCCGCCCGCTAATAAAAAAGCTCCAAGCAAGGAATCAGATTCATTAAGCTTGAGGTTTTGAAGTTTTACATTACCTTGAAGAGGGAAATACAACATACTAGAATATTTTCTGGTTTTAGAATTCCACGTGATGTATGTTCGAAAGAACATTTTGTGCTTTCACCCCAGAATGACAGGATTTATTGTTTTAAAGATATAATCAAGTAAATAAAAATTTATTTTTTCTAATAGATTAAATTCTTATATTAGATGGTCGCACAACTCAGTATTATAGTATATAAGCCAATGTGATTGGCCAATGAAAAAGAATTAGGCACGCACATGAGAAGGTATATTAAAGAGTTTAACTTACGAGAAATAATTTTAATGCTATCAGGTCATTTTACTTGTTGTATCAACTAACATGCTATATATCTTTTGGATGATATGATTAATAATAGAGTCATAGAGGGTGTGGTAATTAGTATCGGGATAACTTATACATTCTTCTTAGAAATTATGCAATTGTTATTTTTAATACAACATATCAAACAGTGGATAAAAAATAATACCAGGATAAGTAATCACAATATAACTTATCCCAGCATAAGCCGTATTCAAACCAAACGACCCCTTAGTGTGTATAAGTTAAATTCTTCCATTAAAGACACAAATTTAAATGAAAAGTATGCTTTGTCTAATAATTTAAGCTTTTCAATAAGATAATCACACTATTCGACAACGTAAAAATGTAAGGATGAGGATGTGTAGAGAGACCAGCTCGGAACAGAGGAAGAAGCAACATTAGGAATTTAGGTCCAGACTAATTGCTGTAATTACAGAATGATTATCTCCTCATTTGAAGCATTTACAAGAATTCTTTTTACACATAAAGGAAAAAAGAATGGGGAACTTTGATGAAAGTCCGGGGCCTGCTAGTTTGAATGGGGATATGAATCATTTCAGAACAAACTTTGGAGGTTCAAAAGCTTTGCCTACCATTTTCAGTAGTTTTCTATGTCATTGTCATGGAATTTATTTAAAGATAAAAAGAAAGAATATTGGTGATAAAAATGATTCTTTCAAGTGGAGGGTGCTCAAAAGAAGGAACATATTCCTTATCATTTCTGGTGTATCTTATTTTAAATTCCATTTTGATTCCATAAGAAAGCCCTTTTCTCCAAGTTGGCCAAATCTCATGTCCCACAATATGTTACTATAATATTTTGCTATTATGTGATCTTTACATAATGATTGTAGTTTTTGATGTCCTATTTAGTTGTTCTTTTCTTTTGAGGAAAGTGGCAGAGTGAGCTCAAAATCTATATCTTGTTTCCACTGAGAAATGCCTTAGCCAATTTAGCTTGTGAATAATACTAACAAGATATTGGCAATTTCCATATTATTCTTTTATTTTTTGGACATTATCAAGATAGCATTCACCCTCTGCTTGGGATTACTTCTAGAAGTGTTTGAGTTAATACCAGGATTCTATAAGTGATTTTGAGTCATATTGCAATCTTGATTTACTTCATTACCAGAGTACTCAAAATCTGATCTTTGTCATTTCGTGGATAAGCTTCCTATAGGTGTTAATGTGTTGTTGTTCAAATATATGATTTTGGTATTTCAAACATTGATGTCAAATATAGTATTTTTCACATTGGAAAACATAGATCTTTATGCAGGAAATGCAACAACAACAATGTCTCAGTAAAATCTCACAAGTGGGGTTTGGAGAGAGTAAAGTGTACGCAAACCTTACCCCTACTCCGGAGGGATAGAGAGGTTGTTTCCAAAAAGACCTTCGGCTTAGAAAGACAAAAATAAACAATAGACTAGTGACAACAACAAAAGCCAAAAATAATATAGACATAAAATAGATTGAAAAGCAATAACAATAACCATTAATAATACCATAACCCTACATAAACCACTAACAACCCAAAGCGAAACATTATCAGCCTAGCCCGCCCCTGGTACGAAGCAGAAAAACGCTCGCCTCCCTCCTAACCTACAACACTAATGCTCGACATCCACATCTTCCTATCAAGAGCCATGTCCTCGAAAATCTGAAGTCGTGTCATGTCCTGCCTGATCACCTCACCACAATACTTCTTAGGCCGTCCTCTACCTCTCATCATACCTGCCAATGCCAATCGCTCACGCCTCCTAACCGGGGCATCTTGACTTCTCCTCCGCACGTGCCTGAACCGTCTAAGCCTCGCTTCCCACATCTTGTCATCCATGAGAGCCACGCACACCTTCTCCTGAATATCTTCATTTCTAATCTTATCCAGCCTAGTGTGCTCGCACATTCATCTTAACATCCTTATTTCTGCTATTTTCATCTTTTGGATAAGAGAATTCTTGATTGCCCAACACTCAGCCCCATACAACATGGCCGGTTTAATCACCGCTCTATAGAACTTGCCTTTAAGTTTCGATAACATTTTTTTTGTCACACAGGACTCTAGATGATAACCTCCATTTCATCAACCTCATTCCTATACGGTGCGTGACATACTCGTCTATCTTCCCATCCTGTGAATAATTGACCCAAGGTACTTGAAACTTCCTTTGTAACGGTAAAAAATGCTACAACATCTCCGATAAATACTTTACTTAATTGTGAGAATATATATTGTAATTAACTATGATTTGATTTAATGGCAGAGCGTGTGAAGACACATTATTATTAATTGGTATAAGCACGAAGTGTGGATAAGTTATTATATTATCTCATATTGAATTATGCCGATGAGCTCAATGATACCCCTTAATGGTTAACGTTCTATTCTATCGGAGAATAAGAGTTATATGGCCTTTTAATGAGATAAATGGAGGAACAAAGAAAACAATAATTCAGAGCCTAATACAAGGACACAAGCTAAAGAAATTAAAAGATCATCTTTGCATAATGTAATAAAGAACATTTACAAAATGACCAATAAGAAAAATCCACCCTTTCCATTGACCTCCCTATTTTTCTTGAGCATTATTTCATTTCTATTTCACATTTTACAACAAACCAAGGGAAGATTATGGATTCTCCATAAAATCAATTAAACATTAAGCAACAAGATTTCTGATCAAATTTCCTTGAATCAGTTTCATTTATGCTAGATCATTGCAGTCTACATTAAGGCCAAAATCATGAACCATCCCAACGCGTTAATCAACAAAAACTCTGCAAATTAAAAAAAAAGAAAGAAAAAAGATAGCACTTGTAAGACATGAGAACCAAAAAATAAGATTAAAACACCAGAAAAAGTTGACAATTAATTCTTGTACCAGTTTGCCATGGGACAGTTGTGAAACTGTTACTCCAAGATGATCCGAGGAAACAATCATTGGACGTGTTGAATCCACTAGGACAATTACAAAGAAATGAATTATAAGGTCCACCATATCCACAAACTCCATTACTCTTCTCACAACTCTCACACATATCAGGATAATCATTATTGAAATTAAACTTGTATTTCAATCCCACACCATATTTCCAGGCCTGTGGATTCAATTCTTGACCATATAGAGCTGAGTAAGATGAGCAATGCAACTTCTCCAAATCCATCTCAAAAGCCGGTCCAAGATCAACCGGTGTGTAAACACAACAAGTGGAAATTGGAAGATTAAGTCTACTAATAGCTTGACAAGAATACAAAAGACTACAAACAGTTGCACCCTGAGAATCACACATAGGGAAAGTTGAATTAACCCCTCCATTTCCATTGGATTTGTAAATTGGTGAAGAATCTGTTGCACAATCAAGTAAAGCAAATACTGTATCATCATTAAAGCTAAAAGGTGCATTTCCATCTAAACTAAAGCCTTTACTTGGCTGTGTACAAGCACAAGTTGACATAGAAGGATCATTAATGTACAAGACTTGGTTATTGTAATCTATTGAAGTAACTGGATAGCATCCGGTGTGAGTCTTGAAGCTCAGTTGTTGGTTGTTGCAGATAACATAAGGCTGAAACCGCGGATCGCCACATCCAGGACCAGTGCCAAAAGGGTATTTGATTGGTGTATTACCACATGATTTTTGGCAAGTTTGTGATGTGATTAGTGTAGGAAGAAATATGAATACAATGCAAGAGATGAAGATTGAAGATTTCTTGAAATTCATGTTTGGTTGACTATGAAAATACAGATAGATAGGGAGGAAGAAAAATGTGGAAGAGTAGTGGTATATAAATTAGTCAGAGGTCTAAAACCTTGTCTTTTCGTAATGAGAAGTGCTTATATTTTATGGGGGTTGTTCCTTCTTTTGCAACTTTTGTTGAACTTAGTAGTGCACAAAATGCGTGCCAAGGGGTCTACCGGAAACTAACTAATGTTTGGGTATATTTTGATATGTGTTGATGTTACTTTACCCATATTTTAATCATTTTTTGATGCTATTTGATCTTTAAAATGCCCAACATGGTTTAATTATTGGTTTTATGACTAATTGAGTTGTGTGTGATGATTTAAGGTGTTTGGAGTGCAAAAATATGAAGAAAAGGTGCTCTAGCTAGAGGAAGAGGGGTTGGATGCGTCGCATCCAATCTAGAAAAAAAATCAGATTTCGTGCACCCTTAGCAGTGAAGTCGGCCCATAGCATCCGCACCTGGGCAAAGCTGAGATGGAGGAACAAAGGGTGGATGCGAAGTATCCACCCTAGCATAAGAAGCTGAGAAGTGGAGGACGAGATGGATACGACGCATCCACCCCAGCATCAATCCCTGAAGCTGAGTCGGATTAGGAATAGGAGAACTTTGGCCCACGACTTTTGTACGCAATATATAAGCCAAAAACGCCTCTTTTAGGGCATCTAACATATTGGGAAGGGGGAAAAAGCCACGACAAAGCTGGAGAACCACGGAATTCATCTTGAGTTCTTATTTTTCCTTCTTTTTATTGATTCTTATGCACTCTTGTGAATTATTTGATGATTGCATGAACATGAGTGGCTAATAACCCTATTATTCTAGGGTCATGGGCGATACATGAATGTTGATGTTTGAAGTTTAATTTGACAAAGTTGATTTTATCATATTGGGTTGTTTATTTAATTATGTTTTTAATTAATTTACTGAGTAGCTAACAGTGAATTACTATCTACGAATATAGAGATGAACTCGAAAGTGAGAATTCTAAATTGCATATAGAATTAAATAGAGCAAGTTCTTGAACCCGGACATCGGGGAACGGATTCGCAATTAGGATAGAAATATACCTAATTGTCTTGCTC